CATGAACTGTTGAACCATGAGCTAGTTTTGAGGGTTGGAGCATACCCACATGGTTCAAAGTTTCAGCAGAAAGCCTGTGAGGTGAATGTTGCAATTCACCTGTATGAGTGTCATGTGCATGAAGGTGTGATTGGATGTCCAAGTGATTGACGGATGTCTGTCAACTGTGTGTATAAAGGGAGCAGGTCTGAGGGATCTGTGTTCCCTGTGTGTGGATGTTGTTCCCTGAGATTTGCCTGTGAAAGTGAGTGAGAGTCCCGGGGGACTAATAACTCATGTCTTGCTGTGCAATTGATGGGTGCATGCCTGGAGGGCCCAGGGGTGGTCAACAGCCAATGTGGCCTAGTACATGTAGGTATCCCATACACACAGTAAGCAGTGGTAGGGAATCAGTGGCTGGCTGAGCTGTGTGAGCGCAGAGTGAGGGTCCGGGAGGACCAAGACCTCTATTGTGATGGCTGGAGGATAAGTCAGGGTTGAGTGGCTGGGGGAGTAGCCAGTCATCTGTCTGTGTGTGGAAGTTGAACATGGCTGGAGGCCCTGGGAGGCCAAAGGCCAGTGTGCTTCAGTGAATGCCCGAGGTGACAGCAAATCGAAGGATGACTGAGCCTCAGTGAGTGAATGCAGAGTGGGTGCAAGCCTGAGAGGCTAATATCCCCTTTGTGTGCTCCTTGTATTGAGGCTGGGAGGTGCAGCCACAGTATCTGCTAGCTGTGAAAGAGCTTGATATTGCTCTCTGGTGCCTTCTCTGGTTTGTATTATTGTTGTTGGTTACACTGGGATTGTACTGTTGTTGATAAAGGGGATTGTATTGAATTGTTGTTAGTATTGTTGATCTTGCTGTTGTTGTTAATATAGTTGTGATTACTCCTCTACCCGGTGTTGGTGTCATTTACTAATTAATGCGCTCATAGCATCAAACTGGGGCCAGGCTGTAGGCCAATAGTCCGATGAGAGATAAGCCACCCACCATTTCTTTCCCTGAGACATACTCTTCAAGGATTAATGCCCCTCATTAGTATGATTAAGAGTTTGCCTCAACAATATACACCTGAATTCCTTTTTGCTATAGTGTCTCCCAAATATTTTAATCATGTAGACAGTGAAGACCAGTAATTCCAAAAAGATCTTTTTGGAAATGCACTGCCATGCACCAATAATAGCTGACCTGATGATTTGTTGCACGTATATGTCACAACCCAAAGGGTGTGATTTTTGTTTTTGTGTGCTTTGGCACTGCTAAATTGTCCCCGCTAAATTATCGCTTCCTTGCACGGTGGAGTTTTCTGCTGCAAAAGAGAACCCCGGTGCAAGGGAGAATTTCCCGCCAATTTGAAGCTTTCTTTGCAGGGTGCATTTCTTTGTTGCAGCACAGAAATGCTCGTTGCAAAGAGTTCCCGCCATTTGTATGCTAATTCGAGTCCCATTATTGGCCAGTTCTAAATTATTCACACGTGGCGGCTAGTGATTGGCTTGCTAGCCGTATAAGAGGCTTGAGTGGTTTCCGCCCAAGTTGGAGGACTCCACGAACAAGGGAGGAGGAGACTTCACGCTGTGTGAAGATCTCTAAGCGCTGCGGATCCTTACGGACCCAGTGCATTTAAAGCAGGCAATAGAGGTCTGATCAACCTCTAGCCTCTCCCCGTCGCCGATAGATTCCTAGACGTACCCCACCCGCGCGCAAAAGAACCGGACCCACGAAGCCTAGCAAACTTCGTGTGAATGAGTGAGCAGAAGAACCCACAGAGCCTAGCAAACTTCGTGTGAGTTTATTCAGAGCTCTTCCGGACGAGTACTTTCTTCGGCTGACACGACGGGCTCGCGTGTTCAGAGCCTTCAGCCGGATTGGGCTAGAGTTCACGAGTCTAGAACTCTTGTCCGCCTCTCTTCTTTCCTGTCTGTAACTGCAACTCAATCAAGTTTTCCTGCCTACACCACTGCCATCTCAGTGTAAGTAAACAATCTTTTAAACTACCGATACGCGTCTGTGCCTAATTCCAGCTCGAAGGCCTTCCCCCTCCGACCCGGCGTGCCCGGGCTGCTGGCCACAGCCCGCGTGCAGCGCGAAAAGGGCTCAGGTCGCTCCCGGCCCGCACAGTATATTGGTTTGAAATCTCTGTGGAATAAAGCTATCCACTTGTGCAGATAGAAAACCAGTAGAGCCACCCATCAGCCAAATAAAATCACTGACAAAAGAGGTCAGATTATATGAATGCTCCTTACAACACTCCCCAAAAGGCACAAACACTCTGGTTCTGAGAACATCAAGGAAGAAACAAGTCCCAGAGATGTGGGCTTTTAGCTGATTGGACATGGCTGGCTTTCTTATAGAAGCAAGAATTAGCAATACTACCAAGTACAATGGGATGTAAGAGGAGATGCAGGCTCTGAGGCAGCTGTATCCTAAAGCACTTAGGTATAATATGCTCACAGCAACACAGCACACTTAGGAAGAGAGCAGCAGCACCTGCATAACCTGAATCCTCCATATGGTTTTCAAAGCAGCTCCAAGCAAAGCCTATTCACCAGTCCAGGCTGGAGGTGCTAAATGTACAGATTTATTTATTTTTAATGTTATGTATTCCAGGCCAAATTAGCCAAATAGAATTCCAAATCCAAGAGTCCAGAACCATAAGTGGCCCTACTACTGGCAAACATCCTCCACCCCCATCTGGAGCTTCAGATGTTTCCAAAACCTTTGGTGGGCATCCTACTTGCAGGTCCAAGCCCCCAAGTTTTGTCCTCAGCTGTAAGGCCCCAGGGGCAAGCCAGGAAGGAGTCTTTCATTTCCATAAAGTGGGCTTAAAACCAAGACTGTCCCACTCTAGCAGCTGCGTAGGAGGTTTACTATACTACACTATACATTACTTTGGCAGGTATTATCCCCATGCCAGGAGAGTGGTCTTCCCCAGGAGCAACTAGGAAGACCACCTTTGTGGTCATGGTGTTTCCCTTGCCAGGCAAGCATAGCTTATGCTTGATCTGAGCCCACAAGAGGCCAAGAAGTGCTTTACTGGAAGAAGCAGTAAGTTACTTTGACCTGGCTCTGCAGCATCTGTACAGATCGGGCACTCCAGCAGGGCTTTTTGGCAATTTTATCTAATAGCTGATAGCTGTGCAGGAGTGCACAGAGTTTAAAGTGCCTTTTTTTTTTTTTTTTAATGTCTGCAAGTAGCCTAAGTGACAGCGAGTCTATGACATCACAGGCATTGGCATCCCAGATTTACCTGTCTTTTTCCTGTGTTGACACGAGATATCTCCCAGACTGAGAACAGGTAACTTAAGAACATGCTTGATGAATGGTTGGAGAAGGTAGCTGGAGGGATACTGCTAAACACCATGATTTAACAAACCTTATGCTATTTAATTCCTGCTCTGCTGTGCTCTGCTCTGCTTCAAAGGGAACACTTCTCTCTCCTGATTTTGGTCTGCCTACAGGAGGTGTACAATAATATTTCCCCTGACTGTTTGAGGCCCCCACGTATAACTCATGAATTCTGATTAATACCATGAAGTTATTAGCTTATTACTATTATGCAAATTGCTGTATCACAAATCCCTTTGTGTTGGTGTGTAACCACCTCTGCAGACAAGGCCTCTGTCATTTCCCAGCATACCAAAAAACAATAGTGGGTACTTGAATCTCAGTGGCTACTGAAATGGGTACAGTTTGGCACCAGGGGCTAGCTGAGGCCTAGGCAAACCAGTTATGCCAGTTTTGTCTGCAAAGGGCTTGGAATTTGTAGTTACTAAAGACTGAACAATGGAAGTTGAGGGGAGGGAACAGCCTAAGAGACATACAGACGTATCTATCTCAGAGACATACAGAAAGGATTGAACAGCAGAGGCAAAGCAATGGCTTTTGTGACAGGGAGAACCCATTTTAGCTGTGAGACCAGACAAGCTCAAAGACAAACCAAGATCTGACTGTTGAACAGGGACAGGTGCTGTAATGTTTGTGAATATCTGATTTCACTAGTATTGTCCAAAAAAGTTAAACCAAACCAGAGCAAAGATGAAAAGTATATGGAAACAAAAATTAAATAAAAACACAACCCCAATCTTCCACAGTTCTCAAGAGACCACAGACCTTTGAAAAGCAGCTTTCAGGATAAACACGGGAACACTGTACTGTACCGCATGTACTGCTGCTGAATGATGCGACTGACCTTCAGTTAATTCTCAGTCAGATAACAGGGGTTTATGCTCTGCTGATATTACCACAGCTCAATACAGGATATGGAACATTTAACATGGGCATATGGAAAAGTAATTAAAATTAGGCAGAAGTGTTTGAATAACTCTGTCAATTTGTTGTAGTAGTTGGAAGTGCAATATACTGTAAAATACTTTGGACTGGAAACTTCAAACCAATATGTAACCAAAACAACACCCTGTAACATTTAATTATAAAGCCCTGACTGCAGGGCCTGAAAACTGTATGGCTCTAACCTAGTGTATTTTGCCTGCAGCATATTGTTTTTTCAGTAAAAAATAGTAAGCTCCTGGAGAAAAAACACACAGTGTCTAACTGTGTCTACTGCTGAGGATTAATAAATAAAGAATAAAACCCAGTTACATGAGATTACGAGCAGGCTCACAAAACACTATGACTGATTCTTCTCTCCAACCAGAGGATTCTCTCAGACTTCAGCAGAGAAACATCTCATTTATACTGGTGCAAGAAAGGAATCAGCTCATTACATTTTCATACTTATTCTAGTGCTGTGCAGTCCCTGGTAATTGTTTTAATTGATTTCACCTATTGTTTTGGCATTGTATTACATGGCTACTCAAGATCAGTGGAGGTGCCTACAGCTGCAGATTTTTACCCTGCCTTGTTTAGTGTTTGGCCTCAAGCAATGGCAGTGGTCAATGCCTAAATGCTTCAAAGGAAAATGAAAAAGCGTTCTGCAGCCATGCAATGCTACAACTTTAAGTGTGATAGCGCCGAACCTTAATTTTTCAAATATTTCTCTTTACTTCAACAAATGACTTACAGGATCAGAGGGCCCACAGAAGTCTCTGAATATTTTTGGAGGATTAGGCTGAATGATCTCTAGTGCTATACAAGGACCCGAGCACAGTTCTGTGACCATCTCCTGGAAGAGGAAAGCAAATTGGAATTGGTTAGTGTATTGCTGAATGTTCTATTTCACCTGAAAACAAACAAGACCAGGGATTTTCAGGAAATATTTCCTCTAGGAAAAACAGATGCAGGAAATGATGACGGTTACCATCACCATCCTCATTTGATGAAATTGATTTACATTTTGTTGCTTAAGTTCACAACAGAGGGATCAAGTTGGATTCCCTTATTCTTTAGGATACCGAATTAGTAGCAGAGGTCAAAATGTTTTTATTCCTTTGTCTTTGGTCTGCTACCATTACTTTTCAACCTGGATTCTGCCATACCAAGCTATAACTCTACCTGCTTCACACTGAATATTATATTTAGGGCTAACCCTGAAGATCATCCAAAATCTTTAGCTGGTACAGAATGCAGTAGGCTACTATCACTGCATCCTGTGGGGAACACATTATGTTGTCTATTTTTGCTTCTGGGTTCTTTCCAAATCAAACTATTGTTTTTAGTTTATAAAGGTGCATCGCATGTCTTAGGTCATTGAAGATTCAAGATAATGTTTGTAGCTGTGAAATTAATGGAAGTGGGGCTCACATCAGGGAGTGAAGTGGAAGCTGGGAATGCCTTAGAGTACCTATACACAGGCTCCTTCATGTTCTAATTAGAATGCTCCAGCATTGCTGCAGCATCATGTGTAATAAGCCCCGACGTATTTTAAGTGTCCTCAAAGCACTTTATGTAAACCTCATTGAACGAGGTTCACATAAAGCATCTCACAGCCATTTTTAAACAGGCAGAGACTTAATACATACTCTGCAGCATTTTAATTAGAGCAGTTGCTCAGTAACCACTCTAATTAACACCCCCCCCCACCACCTTCAAGCACATGTATAGGTAGCTGTCAAGACTTCCTTTCTGCATACATGTTACAACAGCAGCTGAGACCAGCTTCTTGGCACTGTTTCTTTTCACTATGGGTCCTTGACTCTGGAATATACTGTCAGCTAATTGTGCCTTCTGCCAGCCAGTTTAGTGCGACCCACAGCCACTTGTCTTTTGAGGTTAAAAACAAAACCTAAAAAAAACAGGTCCTTTATTTGGAGTCTTCCTTTAACTCAAAAATATTTGGACCTCCATGCCCACTACCTTCAACAAAGGAAATAAAAAAAAAATAAGGTTGTCTTTTTCAGTTCAGGCCATAACAATTCACCAGATTGTCTCAGCAGCAACCACCTCTTTAAATCTCTCTCTGAACTAGGGCCCTTAAAATGTTCCCACGTTGGTATGTACCCACCTGGGCTTCATCTGCACCTCATGTTTAACAGTGCTAGCTTCGCCGCCTTGATCCTTAGATGATCTCTACACCTTGTCACAAAGCTTTCCTTTATTCTTTTACTATTGGAATATCAGAACTTTAATATCACTGTGACAAGTTCATCTGTTCTCCAAGGCTCTTTTTTATTGGATTGAAGAGTGCCAGAATAATGAGACAGTGTGTGAGTTTGGGGAAGTAAGCTTTAAGTGTAGGCATTCTGTCGTTTGTTAATCAGTTTTACAGGTTGTAAGGCCTGGAACTGGAATAAACAAATGAACTGAAACTGATGAAAAAAGAGGAAGAGAGGAGACATCAAAATGAAGTAAGGTAAGGAAGGGGGGACAAGCTAAGCTATTAATCCTGTTACTCAGATACCAGTTCTTTGTAGGTCAGTCCCAGGGGCAAACTGGTAAACAAGGAAGCAAGGAGGGTGGCAAAAGAACATGGACCATGTATATTCTGGGATTTGAGGATTATAATTAAGGCTACAAATGTACAGACAAAGTCAAACACCATTATATAAGGTGACGGTAACTTTCCAATGAACTTCCTTTTGAGATCATGGGTAAAACTTTGCCTTCTGAAAAAATTGAGGGCAGTATTTCACCCTAAAACTGTTATTGTCAGAATGTTCACAGAAGTGACAGGTACAGATCACCTGGAAGAATATAATCTGACCTTGTTCCATGCTCTACAAAGAAAGATTAAAAAAACAGAATTCCAAGAAAAGTCTTGTTAGTGCCATCTACTGGCTCTTAATGACAGGTCAAAGGATAGCACACACTCCCATTAACAAGCAATAAATTGCCATAAAGCTGCTACTAATCTGAAGGATTTGCTCGAATCCTTTCACACAAAATAACTGCTAATAAGGAAAAGTGGAAAAAATGGGCCTGAACTCATAGACTTGTGTCAACTAAATTCGTCCCAGCAGGCAGATAGTTGGTCTTCTTGATCCTCTACTCTATTCAGCCCACATGTACAGTCAGCAATAGCATGTGACAAAGAGTGATGTTATTCCAAACTACATGATTATGTTTGGAAGCAGAAGGCTGACAACCAAATGGTGTTGGTTACAGCATCCATGTTTGGTAGTCATATTGCTGCAAGACAAGCTGTAGTAAACCTAGTGCCTAACGGCAGATCCTGAAGGGTAAGAATGAATTTTAGAGCTTTGCTGGCCTGGGGGGGATTGTGGCCATGCCTCGCAGCTGCCAGGACCCAACTGGGTCCCAGAACTGGTAGGTGTGCTGACAGGACACAGTGTCCACAGTTGTGGGACTCTGGATCCTGACAGCTGCAGGATGCTGCCAGGATGCAGAAACAGCAGCTACTGGGGCAGAGAGTCCCTTTAGTTGCAGGACTCCCAACCCTGGCTGAGCATGGTGCACCCCTGTGGTAGACAGCTAGGGCTGTGTGAAGCGTTGGGTGCCGATTGGATTCAGAGGACATTCAACCCAATTTGGTGGCCGAATCTCCAAATCCAAATTGAATCAGGAGACCAATTAAAAGGTCCAAATTGATTCGAAGCTCGCTGAATCGATTCAGAAAAGATTTGGAGAGCTTCGATGATTTGGGCAGTCCCCGCCCACTGCAGCAGGAGCTGGAGCCGGACTTGGAACTGGTAAGTAGGGGCAGGAGAGGTGGGGCTGGAGGAGGGGACCATGGGTGGACCCCTGCCAGACCCCATCCCCTGCCTGCTCCCCCAGCCCCTCCTGGTGGGGGGGTGATCTGTGCTGCCCCCCACTGCATGGGGGGGCTCTGCACAAGCCCTCCCCCCACCTCACCAGCTCCTGCAGCGACCTCGGGGCTTCTGGGGGCTTGTGGAAGAGCCCCCCATATGGCAGGGGGCAGTGGGGATTGCCCCCCCTGCATCGGGCAGGAACCGGTTTTGGGGTTTTTTTCTTAAAGGGCCAGAGCTGGAGCAGGCAGGGCAGCTGGGGCGGCGGGGGTTCGGCGGGCGGCGGTGAGCCCCAGGGTTTCTTCAGGTTTTTTTTTTTCTTAAAGGGCCGGAGCTGGCTTGTGCAGGGCACTCATGAGGGGGCTGGGGGAGCAGGAGGGGAGGGGTGGTTCAGGGGCTCATGCAGAGCCTCCCATGCAGCATGGGGCAGTGGGGATCACCCCCCACCCAGTAGCACCCAGTGAGTCCGGACTTTTATTTCGAAGTGTCAGGAGCTGGAGTGGGTGGGGCAGCCATTGCAGGGCTGGGAGAGTGAGCAGTGGATGGGCCTGTGTGATTCGGCCGAATCGATTCAGGACAGTGATTCGAATCGCCAAACTGAATCAATGTCCCCCAAATCAGCCGAATCCGAAGTGAATACTAGCCACTTCGTACAGGCCTATTGGCAGCCCCATCAGCTGATGGGGCTCCCAGCTGCAGGGAAGGCTCTACTACATGTGCAAATGAAAGCTCGATGGCAACCAGTTATGAAGTTAGTACACATTTTTGTGGTCTAACTTCATAGCTGGTTGGAGCTTTTATGGAGTGATAGCTACTTTGCACATAGTTAAATGTGTGATACCTGTAATGTGTAGAGGGGGGCTGACAATCTCTCTCTACCACTGGCCCAAGTGCATTTTCCAAATGTCTTGCCATCATGACTAACTTCTCCTTAACTCTGCTTCATAACATACCTGACATATAAAGTCAGTTCCTAAGAACCCCAGCCCCAAACCTGATCTCATACCTGATCTGAAAAATAACCTTCATTTTCATTGCCTCAACATTTTACATTCAATCTCCCCCTCTTTGTTAACTCTCAGACTGAACTGTGCAAAACAGCCTGGGTTACTATTTGTCTGAAATTACTACATCAGATGAAAAAGCAGTTACAGTTTGATAAGATACCTGTAGGCAGGGAAAATTCCAGAGGGGGCACAGTGATCTGGTGGCACCCCACTTTTGGACCACACTGGGGGTGGGGAAGAAAAGATGTGTTCTTGCCCTACTCCAGCTACAGGATGCAGGGAGCATCTGTGCTGGGTTCTGTCAGACATAGAAGCAATGGTGCTGGGTGGGTCTCTGTTCCCTGCTCAACTCGCTCTCCTCTGATATCCCCAGCTGTCTCAACCCAACTTCCCACTATGCTGTCTCAATCCAACTTCCCTCTTTTTTAAATCCTGGATCTACACATCTTGTATTAAAATACCAGGCCAGATGTTCCCACATCTGAGTTCTGTGACACACAATCACCCTGTCATCAGGTCCTCCCTTGGCTTGTTGTTTGAAGTACTGGGCTCTGAGAGGAGACCTCCTAGAGCTCTCCATTCTCTTCTGAATGTCCAGAGAGGTCACCCTGAGGTATGTTTACATGTTTGTAAAGTCCTATTGAAATAAGTGGGACTGTACCAGAAATCAAAGTCAACACAGCCACATCTACCTGGAGAATTAGTACTTTAATATGTCTCTAAAAATTGGGGTAAGTTACATACTTCACAGGGTGGCTATGAAGTTTAATTCTTTAGTTTAGTTTAATGACTCTCAACCAGGGTGCCAAGGCACCCTGGGGTGCCATGACATTTTTTCAAAGGTGCTGCAGGAAGTGTGAGGAGATAACAAGATAAGAGCACACAGGTTCAGACTCTCCCTGCCTGGCTGCTCTCCTGTCCCCACTGCCTGGCCTCTCTGCAAAGAAGTAGGCACTACAATAACTAAATTCATTCTGTGCCACTGCTCAATGGATTGCATTGGCATTGCAAGGCATTACAATATACACAAACACCCAACCCTGCCGAGCTTACAATGCATACTTGACATTCCAAGATTTCTCTGAGGCTCACCGAAGTAAGATCAAAAGACTTAAAAGTTAACCACCCAACTACCATTAAAAAAATCCATTCACATGCAAGCCAGTTTCAAGAGTTTCAGCAAAAAATATAAAAACAAGACATTACTGTACAAACAAGATAGTTTTACCAAAAACAAAATAGCTCAGCTCTGTTTTTTCTAATCTGTGCTTCAGACATACCTTGGCAAAATACCCTCCTCTCCAAGACTACTCATGCAGAATTTCAGATGGACTGATTCATTCTGAACAAAGTTGAGGGATGGTCAAAATTGGATTCCTGATGGAAATCTATCCCTGTTTGGAGAGATGGCTCTCTCCATTAACTATCTTGTATATTTAATGGGTTCTTTTCTAGTTAACACTTACAGTGTATTCAGCAACAACACCTTTGTAAATCTCATAGAACTCTTCCACAGTGGCACGCTCCAAGTTGAACTGCATAAAGAAAAGAATGAAAATCTTAGCCCATCTGTCTTGGGGGGGAAGGGAGAATGGGACTGGAAGATGAGGAAGGGCACTTAAAAATAACCAACCCCTCACTCCACAAAAGCCTCCATAATCATTTAACATACTCCCTAAAGTTTTGGGGTGTCTTCCTTATAAGGATGGCTTTGGATGACTGAGTCTGTAGCAAAGTGTTTGCAAGCAGGTAGTTGGTGATACAAGAGGCAGAATAGGTCCTAGCTCATGCTTCCAACAACTAAAAAGGAGCAAATACATTTTGTCCCTGAAGTTGGCAGATGACTCTCTAAGGCCTCATTTAGGTAGTAACTTACCCCACCTCATTTTGGGACCCTCAAACACTCTGCACTGGCTTTTAAACTGAGGGAAGCAAAATCTGTTTGCAGAAATATTTTATGGACCAAGCATATATTTGGGAAAGATTTTGAACAAGCTTTTGGGCACAACATGCAACAGATACAACCTAAGCTAAAAACTTTTGCTGTTGTTTAACCCATTAGTTAAATGAGAATGGCCATTTCAAAAAAAGAAAAATAACAGTAAGCCTGTGGAGCACAGAGAAGTTAACAGAAGTAGGTTGTTTTGTGAGAACTTACCTAACATCTCTCTCAAGTATACAGTTGGTCCGGTAAACAGTATTACCAAACAAAACTTGCTTCTCATACAATTCCTGGAGCAGCAGGGATACACCACCACCCCTAAACTGAAAGCAGTGCAACCACATTCAAAGAGCCATGTAGGTAGGCTAACTAGTAGACCTGTGAGAAGCGGCTAGTATTTGTTTTGAATTTGGCCGATTTGGGGGACAATGATTCGAATCACTGTCCCGAATCGATTCAGCCAAATCCAATTCAGAGATTCGGCTTCTGCCGATCGGCCGAATCTCCAAATCAGACAAGCCACATCCCCTGCCCTCTCTCCCAGCCCTAGCAACGGCTACCCCGCCCAGACCCCAGCTCCCTGCTCTTAAAAAAAGCCCTGAACTCATCGGCTTCTGCCAGGCAGGGAGGCAATCCCCACTGCCCCTCCACTGCATGGGGGTCTTTACAGCTTTCTGCAGGGAAGGGAAGGTGCAGACTACAGGCCCAACTCTGAGTACAAGCCAGAGATACTCATTTAAATGGGAGAAGACTTTTCCATCCTATCTCTTGAAGTTTCCTACCTTATCTGCTTGGCAGTGTATCTGTCTATCTGAACATAGCTTCTCTCAACCTAGATCACTAAAGCCTCTCCACATACCTGGAAAGCAGTTATTCACATCAGCTGTTTCTAGCTGCTTAGTCACAGCTTGGAGGTACTCAGGCCCTTCATTAACCCTCTCCAGGCTGCTGCTGTGATGTGTAATGGGGGGGATATTCTCCTGTCTCCCATCTCTAATATGACAGCCCATATTCCCAGTTTTGCAAGCTGTGTTTGCCACTCTCTTTATAAAATCACCATGCAGCACTGCACTGGACATGCAAAATGCACAAAAGCATGCCTACCATCTGCAAAGCTGAGATCTCAAATCCTTCATCAAGGATGGCTTTTATAATCTTTCCAGGGAGCCCTGTGTACACGCAGAGAGAAAAAACCCACACTTAATAATGAATTAACTTTACATAACATAGGTACAGCGGTTACTTACTAAAGCTCTGTGTTTCCCTGCCAAAACACAGCATTTGTGTTATGTTTGGGGCTGAAATGTTGAGCAGAGGACAGTTCATAAACCTGATCTTTTAAAAACTGTGCTCTACCCTGGGAAGGAGCTATCTACCTCAACTTCCATTCAGTTGTTAGAATAACATTGTTCATACATCTCTGCAAAAATGTATTGGTAAACTCCTTGTTTTGCTGAAATCAACAAGGAGAAAACAGGAGATACAAAAGCTGAGGCTTACTGAGCACAAAAAAATCAAACCCAAAATGCTAAAAATACAGGTCTTCTGCTGTGCTTCTATTCAAGGTGAAACATTTCTCTTCACAGACATGAGGTGAAATCACAGACTTGCTACAGCCTGACAAAACTATTAATTTCAATAAGGCAGGGATTTTATTACTGGTCATTACATACATTATCTGTTTTCCAGCGTGGAAGAGTTTTTAGCACTGTATAGAATGAACTTGATGGATAAGAGAATAACTGAGTAATATTCAGATTCCTGTGCACTAAGTCTTAAGTGTACAGGGCCTAGTGATTTATGCAGTATAGCAACACTGACCTTTGCATCATGTTAAAGTGTTGGTGGTAGCATCAGATAAATTTGGAAGGATAGAGGTTTTCCCCCCCACTTGATTTACATGTGACAAAGAACAGCACAAACAACCCAGGTTTCCTTGCATAATCGTCACATTAGGGTCAACAGAAATTATTTTAGAAAGATTTCTGTGGTTGTGAGCTCTCCAAAAATCTTCAAAACATATTGCTTATTATTGTAATTGAGAGGAAAATGAGGTTTTAACATCTGGCCATAGCAGTTATTTGGGCTTTTGGATATAAGCAAAACAGAAATTTGGTATGTAGAATGATTTTTGTCTCGCAACACTCCTTTAATGTTGGCCAACTATATCCCTATTTTGTCAATGAGGAAGATTCATAGAGGTAAAGTGACCTCATAAAGTTTGCATAGGAAATCTACGGCAGAATCAGAAAGAGAACCCAGATCTCTGAAGCATGCCTGCCTTACTACTCCATTTACTTATATGCCCCCCTGTAATCTAGTATCTGAACAACTAGTGATCTGTAATGAGCATATCCTCTGGGCTTCAGCTATGAGGTAAAGGAGGACTATGATCTCCATTTTACAGCTGGGGAAGCCGTGCATTAAAAATCAGTGGCTCACATATACAGACTCATGACCACTCCCCTGATCCATCACCTGACACCCCACCACCCCTGTGGTCCTCTGGCCAGATGTATTGTAGAGATATCTAAGTTAGCTCTGCACATGCTAGGTCCAGAACAGAAGCAGAATGGCTACCTTTGTGCAGCACTGTCCCTGGGCTAATTAGCTCTGCTGAGAGGCAGACTAATTAGCCTGCACAAAGGTAGCTCTGCTGCTTCCTGTTTGGGTAGTAATATGAACTAAGCAGCCCAAAGTCTCAGCACAATGCTGCCTGGCACCCCGGGAACACTGTAGGAGGGTCAGTCCAACCACGTCAGCTCTTTAGGCTACCAATTAAGAACCACTGCACTACGCAACTTGACCAAGGTCAATCAGGGCAGGGATTTATTACCTCTTCTTCATCCAACATTTTGCATGTACAAGGCAGCCTCAGAAGTGGAGAGTTATTCCATCCCATAAACCTCTACAACCTGCAGGCAGTAGGAGCCAGTGAAGAGAAAAGGTAGGAGCAAAGAAATGGGAATAAATTTCTTGATCTTTGACCAGCCTAAGCTGCTTGTGATGAGACAGTTGCTGTTTCTCTGGTGGCTACAAACCTTGGCTTTAAACTTCATCAGTGCAGAAGGGTCAGACACCCAATCAGCTGGCTGGCGCACACTACATTTGATTAAAATATTCCTTGCGCATCTGGCCTCTCGGTAAAATTGATCTGCTCTCCACTGAACTTTAATCCTCACCAACGGTAAATGCGGCTAGTAAAAAAAAATCTATGTAATTGTAAAAAGAATGTAGTTGGTCCAATAAGATATCACTCCAAAAAAGCCTTGCCTCTTGCACTCAGTGCTAAAACATTTAAGAAAACAGGCCCAACAATATTCATTTCACCATAGCACTTCTATAGCAGAGGAGCTCTGAGCACTTTGCAAGCAGATAACAAGGATTGCTATGCTTTTCTAAAAGGGAAATTATCTGTGCTTCACAGAGGTAGGAGTTGAGGCCCTGGGAGAGTAAGTGATTTGCCCATGGTCTGATAATCAAATCATTAGCAGAGATTGGCCTAGAACCCTAGGGCACCTATACACAAGCAGCGAGGCTGCTCTGATGTGCTGTAGTTACAGCGTGTTGGGGCAGATTCAGTTAACTGAGTCTGCTGGAGCATGGTTCGATGAGTTTAGTAAAAGCGTGCCAGCCACCATTTTTCAGTGTGGGGATGCTGATATACGAGATGCTTTGGTCACTTCAATTGGAGCGGCTCTACGAGCATTTGTAGAAACTCTGGGTGCTTTAGAGTGGCACTCCCCGACTCCTGGGGCATTTGTATAAATGCCTCCAGAGTCCAGGCTTCCACTTGCCTACTCTGACCAGACAACAAACAAACAAATGGTACCCTCCAGCAAGACTAGCTAAAAGCCAAGGTTAGGCAGAGGGTGAGGAGGGAGTTGCTTTGGGTTTCAGCCAATCGTAGTCCTGGCAAAGATCATGTGCTCTGGGGAGGGTAAGGTGAGGGGAAAAGGTGCTAATTTGATAAAATGTATTTCAGCAGTTTACAGCAACCTTTTTTTTCTTTTCAAGTTTACCATTTTAATCCTTAACATCCAGATCAACAGCAAAGTGAGGTACTTTTTAAGGACCCTCATAAAGAGAAAGTGCATCTTTAAAATGTGATTACAGGAAGCCAAACAAAGCTGCAGATTAGGCACTAGTTAAGATTAATTCTCAGTGACAACATACAAAAGAAATCACAGGCATTGCTAAATACAACCAGAGGAATTGTATACTAATCCTAACAAATATGCATAACAAATAACCTTCAGCATAAAAACTGAAAAGGAAAGCTTTACGTCTCCAAGACAGCATTGGGTTACCAGGCACTAAAAACTGGACAGATAATCTTGCAGCACATTTTAATCAAGTGAAAAGATGAGGTGCTAGATCTCATGGAAAGCAGCAGGTTTCAACTATTTTCTGCCTTGTGATAAACAAACATTATTAAATCATATGTAATAGTAGAGCAGTAAAGAGTAGGAAAGATATTGAGCAGGATAAAATGTTATAAATACAACACAGTTTTATGGGAGCCCATGGTTAATTGTCACTCCCCAGATCTACTAATCAGTAGCCCAGTTCTGGACAGGCATGATTAAAGATACAAAGCTCCCTTTACTTCCTCTTTTTTGTGTGTCCTCCCAGTTAATGGCTTCTATGTGAAAAGTTACTTAGATTAGGTGGAAGATTGTTTCATCAGTCAGAAAGCTGTCTGTCCTAATTGCCTCCTTTGTACTTTCTCAACTTAGTGCTGTGCCATTAGTTAAAAGGCACAGCTTGGAATAGGAAAACAGTAATGGGAGCAGAAATGGTTTCTGCTTAGGAACATAAGAACTACTATATTGAATCACACCGATGGTCTGTCTAGACATTTAATATCCAGAAGCAGACAGCTTGAGAAGTTTCAAGTAAAACTGACCAGAGGACAACTCCGTTCTGCAGCAACTTTTGAGGTTTCAGAGTTGGCTTTTGTTTCACACTTGAGATGAAATAAAACCCTTTCAAATATTTTCATGAAAACAGAATTGTGTTGGCAAGTGAGATGGGACAGGTGTAGGCAGGCAAGGGTATAAGTGTCAGTGTCTAGCTCTTTATTTTCTGGTGAAGACAATGGGCCTGAGATACTGAAGCCTCAGGTTTGAGTCCTTGCTCTGCCTGATGCAGAACAAAGTTCATCCCAGTTATTCTAAACTGGAAAGAACAGGCACTAGCCTGGGTCTCCCAAAAGCAATACGCCTATAACAAAACAGACTATATCAGTAAAAAATGTTCTGACTGGCTCTGTGTTTCAGAGTAACATAGAAGAAACCCTCAGGTCAAGAGCTAGGAGAGAACTTTCTTATAGAAGACCTTTCTTTCTAACTCATTCCAGTCATAGTCAGCTTATCCCCTGAAGAAACAGGCTTTCAACTTCTTCCAAACTTCAATTTTGCTTCTTAAATCTTTCTTATGTAACTTGGAATACTCATATAAATATACGTTGTGTTCATTCCTGAGCTCTTGGCCTCACTGATAATCTCTGGCCATGAATCCCATAGGCTAACTGAGTACTGCCTGAAACGTATTTCTGTTGCCATAGTGTCTTGGAGCCCAGGCCATGAATCAGAACCCCAATCTGGTAGGCTTCATACAAGCAGGGAATCAACAGACAGTCCATGCTCAAAGAATTCACAATTTAAGTGCAAGACAAAAGACAATGGACAGACACAAAATAGAAACAGGTGAGAGAGTGAGACAAGGAAACAAAGACGATACTGGTCAGTATGACAGGGATTAGTCCCACTAGTGTCCTACACACTGCTAAGTTCTTGGTGGACACCTTTAAGGAAGACTGAGTAATGGTGAGGTAACTGCAGATGTTTATAGAAAGTTTTCCCTCATGCAAGATTATAAGAAGAAAGCATTTGCTCAGAAATCTAATAAATGGATGATAAAAGCAGTGATTATGGTTAACTGGAGGTGGTAATCAAGATCTGTATGCCAAAACTAGCACTGAATAGAAAAAATAGGCACAGACCCCAGAAGGCCTCAAAAATGGAGACAAACAGCTTGAGTATGATGTGATAAAGAAGGGGGAGCCAGTGGCAGGATGTGAAAAGAAGGGCAGCAGATAAAGTGACAGATGAAGATAAAGTTCTTTGCTGTAAGTACCCTATGTGCCTGTGAGTAGGACATGACT